CCCCCCCCCCGCCCCCACCCCCGCTCTCTCAAAAAATAAATAAACGTTTTAAACACTTGGATTCAGACACACTTGGTTTCAGATTCCAACCCCTACCACAGATACCAATTATAAACTCTGGATAAGACAGAAAACATTACCCAAAGACACTGGAAAGTGAACCAAACCACGCAGAAACTGGAGTGAAATTGACAATAAAAAAGAAAGGCGGTGGGTGGTTTCTCATTTGTACAGCCTGGGGGTAGGTTCTAGTCCTAGCCAGAGGGGCAGCTAAAAACACCAGGGGAAAAATCCAGTCTTCCTAGCTTGAAGCACCAGAACAATAGGAAAGTAAGGTATAAACACTGGAAATCCAGGGTGAGGGCACTCCAAATATTTTTATAAAAACTCTGCTCAAATATCTAGCTGACCCTGAACCACATCTGCATGGGATACACTCCAGGAAACCCAGCTAAACCTAAAAAACTGTGAACTGAAATGTGCGGTACAAATTTCATAGGAGGGAGTTTTACAGAGATTACAGTTTGAGTTTAACCAAGTTGATGGGTTGTTTAGGGGAAAAAAAAAATCAGTACTCTTCAAAGGAACATAACAGACTCCAGAGTTTCTACAGTGTATCCAGGATATACTCTAACACTACTCAAAATGGAAACAAATAGGAAAATATGACCCATTCTCAAGAAAAAAGGCAGTAACTTAAGACCAACACCAAAATGACCCATATATAGGACTCCATGTGGACAGTTCGAACCCTGCTTTAGATCCTCTGTCTTCCTTTCTCTCTGTCCCTCCCAACTAGCGCGCGCTCTCTCTCAAAAATAAACATAAAAAAAAGTATATGTCTAGAAAGAAATCTTAGTGGAAAAATAAAACGATAAAAAAATGGAACAGAAATTCTAGAACGAATAATAAATTTAGCAAGTTCACTGGATACAAGTCTAATATACAAAAATAATTGTATTTTATATTGTAAAGACAAGAAGTTAGAACATGAAATTTAAAAATAACTTCTCGGGGCGCCTGGGTGGCGCAGTCGGTTAAGCGTCCGACTTCAGCCAGGTCACGATCTCGCAGTCCAGGAGTTCGAGCCCCGCGTCAGGCTCTGGGCTGATGGCTCAGAGCCTGGAGCCTGTTTCCGATTCTGTGTCTCCCTCTCTCTCTGCCCCTCCCCCATTCATGCTCTGTCTCTCTCTGTCCCAAAAATAAATAAACGTTGAAAAAAAAAATTAAAAAAAAATAAATAAAAATAACTTCTCTTACAATAACATAAAAAACATAAAATACTCAAGGATGAATTTAACAAAGGACCCAAGACCTTTATTCTGACAACTACAAAACCGACTGCTGAGAGGATGCCAACACTTGTATCACTGGAGAAATATACTATGTTCATGGATTGGAGGATTTAATATGTTAGGATGCCAGTTCTCCCCACATTGGTCTATAGGTTTAGTCTCGCCCTGGGTTATTTCCATCTCTTTCCCCCAGAAGGAAAACAAAAATCATCAAATATGGGGGGGCTAGGACTTGACCTAGAAAATTTTTTCTTTTCAATTTTTTTTTTTAATGTTTATTTTTGAGAGACAGAGAATGAGGCAGGGAAAGAGGGAGACAGGGAATCCCAAGCAGTCTCCACACTCTCAGCACAGGCCCAGTGAGGGGCTTAAACCCATGAACCACGAGACCTTGACCTGAGCTGAAATCAAGAGTCAGATGCTCAACCAACTGAGCCACCCAGGCGCCCCTTCTTTTCTACTTTAGTTGCTTACGATTTTTTTTTTTTAATTAATGGGCTTT